GTTCGTGAGCAGAACTATGGAGATCTTAGTATGAGCGTGATCATCTATCTACTGAAACCTGAATCTGACATTTTGATGACCTCTCCTCGTGAAATACTCCTTTACTCAATTGCATCATACATCTCCCTACGCAAACTTCTAATAAGGACTTCACTGCGCATTTTCCCGCCAGTGTGACAAATTTCAGGTTCCTGTCAAACGACATTCACGTCTTCAGAACATAACCATCACTAGAGATCTTTACAGGTATCACCTCCATTAGTCGATCGAACTCGAAGGAATGGTTGGTTGTTGGACGAGATAACGGCTCGCTAAGACTGTACAATTGTCCAGTGCTAAGCACAGCGGTTTGTACTACTCTTTGACTGCGAAATATAACTGCATTTCATGTAAACGATGTATTGAGAGGGGAAAAAACTTCTTACATGGCACCTTTTGATAGCTTGCGCTAAGTAGCACATTCGTTCCAGGCAGGGTTCTTAGCTCTCGCCGGCCATAGCTACGCCGTCTCCTCCGTCACTTTTACCGAAGAAAAGCACTTGATTACTGCTGGAGTCACCGACGGATCTCTCTTTCAGTGGAAATTTCAACTGTGATGGCGCCGAGTCTTCTCGGTTGGGCCCAAATTGCTCTGTTGATCTAATTTCTGTACGTGGTTTCCTCTACTTGAATTGGCATATGATTCGAAATTAAAGCTTTAATAAATAATTTATTGCACCTCGAACTTGCTAAATTCAAACATGGTAGTGACTAACGCACTATCATCTCTGAGCCTTACCAGGACAGATAAACTGGATTTCCCTCTTTTTACGAACTGCTGAAGCAAATTCAGCTATTCTTCTTTCCAGGCATTCGGATCAATCTTTCTTACTACAAAAATTTATGTTTGTTAAATCAGTTTTCATGTATGGGACCCTCTTCCCACTATATTTAGCCCTGATCTGAAAGATACACTTTGCAATAGTTTAGCTTACCATTTATATTCCTGTAACCGCTACTGATGCAGATTAGTATATCGTTGGCGTAAAAGGAGAGAAATCGCACAACTCGTTAATTGCAGTGTGTTTCATACGTGCAAGATCACCCTCGGTTTGGTACTTACAGGATAAGCAGCGAAGCTTATATCTTTATGACACCACCATTGGGTTCAACACCTTCAAAAACCCCCACATACGTGTTTTAGTCTACACAACTTTTATACTAACATTTAAATAGATTATTTTTCGATTTTTTCGCCGTTTCATAGGTATAGGATCACCCTTGACAGCACGAAGGTCTCGAAATCTAGTGCAACAGAATTTGCACTAGGAGATGACTGTGTAGGCGACGAGAGGAGAATGCTAAGAACTATTTCGGACAAAACCTTGTCGGGCACCATGTTCCGTCGAAGTTGGGTTTCTCGATGTCCAAAACTACTGAATGGAGAGCCAGCAGCATTGTCAGAACAGCAATGAAGAGGGCTTCTAGGCTTGCCAACCGCCGCAGACAGGCACGGCTCGAATTTGCGAAGTTGAATTCGGGATGATATTGAACGCAAGTCAGCCCGTATTACCGAAAGCCATAAAGACCAATATTTTCAATTGAAGCATATTTTCGATGGAAGGAGTTAATAGGGACAGCCCCGATAGTTATAACATACTGGCATGACTTACGATAGAGCTAGATCAATTCTAGCAGTCGCAATTGTGGAGGAGAAAGTGTCATGGTACGGGCTGCCTTCTGCTAAGATGTTGAGCTGGAGCTTGCTCTCGTGACCTCCAGAATGAACTCCAGGGACTTTGAAAAGTCTTAGGATATCAATAATCATCCGTTGTCTCTTTAGCATTTAGCGCTTATCAGCGCTTTTTTTTCATTCAACACACTTGGAATGCACTAATGAAGTTAAGTGCCTAAAGTATCGACCTGCGTAATAACGTTCGACGAGCGGTGTCGCGACACGAACGATGAGACGAATAACGATGGAACTGCGGACGACAATATCACGTAGGGTTACCAAGGAAGTATTGAAGGTGGGACGTGGAACCATATGGAGCTCGTAAAGGCTCCAGTCCAGACGAGAGCGGTGTTAGTCGGAACATTCTGAAGCTACGTCCCTTTTTAGGCCATCTTTTCGTGCCCGAAGATGCGCAGGCAAAAGGCTGCAGTGCAGTTGCACGGTAGGATCCAGTGCGAAGTGCGAAACTTTGACGACCGTCTAGTAAGCATTGGAGTTGCTCTGCGCGTGTGAATAGTGTAACGACTGCCTTAGAAGACGGTACGTAGAAGAGGTCATACGAAAGTGACGCCACTGGGGGCGGCGAGAAGAGTAAGCCGCTCGTGGGAGTCGACATCGCTTACCTACGGAAGTATACAGACAAGTTAATCGACGCTTACCGGACTGGGCCCTCTGTCACCATGTGTCTTCCCCAACTCACATGGCTGCGATTTACCGTGGATTATTACAGCCGGGGGATGGGAATGAATTGACTCACAACAGTTGCGAAATAACTTAAGCATAAAACAGTGAGTAAGCGAAATTAATAATAAAGANATACAGACAAGTTAATCGACGCTTACCGGACTGGGCCCTCTGTCACCATGTGTCTTCCCCAACTCACATGGCTGCGATTTACCGTGGATTATTACAGCCGGGGGATGAGAATGAATTGACTCACAGCAGTTGCGAAATAACTTAAGCATAAAACAGTGAGTAAGCGAAATTAATAATAAAGATCGCATATGGGCTTCTGAGGCCGACCGGTATCGGTAGAGGTAGTGCCCTTCTCTTCTTCGGCGGTGCGCGTGACGTTGTGGTTGCTCACCATTTGGTCGATGACGACGATGAGAAAGGAATCCCCATTGGGCCAGCAAAACAATGGCACGTAGCCTAAACCCAGGTCCTGCTAAAGAGATGACGCGGTCTCCCTCCGCGTGCCTCGGGGTTGTGTTAGTATGAACTAATAGTTACTTGTTTCGAAAACACAAAAGTTGCTGTCGCTCTGTCCGAAGTGTGAATGACGGTGTAAAACACAGTTCAAGAAAAAGTTTATAAAAAGATGGTAAAAAAGATCCTGAGATAACAATGTGATATTAAGAAAAGGTTCGGCTGAGAGAAAAGCCGAGGATTTCACAGGAAGGGCGACCTCTCTAACAGTTGGGGGTTATAAAACATAACATAGTACCACTCTGGGAAGTTCTATCTATATATACCCTGAGAGCTTGTGCTACTCGCCTTGCCCTTTCCTTCAGAGCGTTTTCGGTAAATTGGGGTGGTTTTTTAACTTCAACGATTTTTCCTGATGAACCTCTTGAACTGCTGGCTATTGCTGGCCTATACAGGCTAATCCAACATTTACTTAGATCCCTCTTTCACTTCCTTTATCTCTTGTCCCATTCAGATAACAGTGAGTAAACCAATAACAAAGGCAGTATCCAATCAGTAGCCCATTATTGCGTATGTACAGAGTCATTCTACTTATCTGAATAGAAAGGTCGCCGTTTCGTGACGTTTCTCCAGCACCTTTTCGGGACGTTCCTGGAGAAAAAAGACGCGCGCTCCAGTTTCCTGCCTTAGAGACAGATTACGATAAAAATGTTTTCTGGGACTTCTTACTAACATGAAATTGTGACCCCCAAGAATAACTTATGGAGAGTTGTTGGGCCAAAAAACTTCTGAAATATTGTGCGATGCAGACTCGAAATCGGGCTCCGTTGGGGCGTTGCATAGTAGCGGAAGTGCTGTAACGGACCTGTAGAGAGTGCACCACGGAACACATACATATGTTGAAAAGTTAGGAAGCTGATCAGAGAGCATCACACTATGTTATTTAAGAGCAGAATCATAACAACAGCAACAACAACAACAATAGACCAACAATCTGAGATCTGCTGAGAACAACAACTTGAAGGCTGCAGTAGTCGTGTTATGATAGCATCCAGTCTTGTCGATAGTGCAAAAAATTTTCACAACAGTTAACAGGGATACTGGAATTAACACTTCACGCAATTGCGCACAATTGNAATCTCGTCCAAACAGTATTATCGTTCAATCACCAGACTGAGTATTTCAAAGAGCCCATAGATTTCTCGACTGAGTATTTCAAAGAGCCCATAGATTTCTCGAAATTCTTAGGCTTATTCCGTTTTCTCGATGCCGATGGATTACACTGCACAAATCGTCCTTCCCTGGACTCTCATACAATCTGGAGAAAGTTGCTCCAAAAGTTGTAGCAAGCATTCGGCTTGTAGCGTAGCCAATCGGAAAATCGCTATGGTATAAGCCAAATTAACTTCGTTTTAGTTGACATACTGAACGGTAGATGAAGCTTTTAGGGCTATTCCGCAATCAACATTGGTGATTGTTTCTGATTCATTAGGCATGGAGAAGACAATCCGCAGAGTTTCCAGATACAATAGCAGAGTCCAGTGTCGACGTACAATCTCCACGATGATCAGCCGAATCGAAGGAGTTCTCAGCTTACTTTTGACGCAATGATGTTCTAGGCACACTGTAAGAGCTTTTACAAAGAACTTCTAAAATGAGATTTTATACGAGCTGGGAAAGTCCGTTCTACTATTTCCATAGAAGTAACGATGAGATGACATTTTCCAACAACAGCTTAATAATAAATGACAAAGTGTGGAAAATGACTTATTCGGAACTAAATTAGCCGTTTACTTCTCATCACATGTCTGATGTTATCTTATCTGTATGAGGAGAAAAACAGCCATTTACTGAAGAACATATCTCAGTGCTTTTGGTGGAAGTAGAGTGTGCCAATCATCTCATTAATACTAATATTTTTCTCTTGCTTTCCTAGCAATCGCGTCTTTCGTGGCATTCAAAGGTTCAGTGCAAGTGAAGATAATTTTTGAAGTTTCTCTCTTTTATGAACCTGTGATCCCAAGGGTAGCTAAGAGATGGTGTCGGGTCGCAAAACAGTCAACATAGGGCGTAATAAGGGCCCCCAAAACCGGCTAAGCCGAGGTACACGCCCAAGGCGAGATATTAGGCGTTGTGAAAGCGTAGGGATTGCATCATTCACACCAGGACCCATATTTTGCATGCAGGCAGCGTATTGCAGCCACCTGTATTAAATGGCTCGCTCTTCGACCATATACCACCTTCCGTACTTGTTCCTCACATTTTTGTTAAATTCTTAATTTTGTTTTTTTTTTCGAAGTTCACTAGTCCCTTGAACGCACCGATTTTCGATTTTATCGCCTCTTTTGCTTTACTGTGAGATATAGGATGTATATTATTTCATGTATACCTCGATAGACACAAAAACGAGTCAATACAGTTGCAGAAACAAAATATTAAGTTTAAAACAGCGGAAAAGCAGATTCTATGTTAAATGCTGAGAAGATTTCTTTTGCTCAGAGCTTTACAGCAGATCGCGTTCCTCCTTGGGGAAAATTGTCTCCAAATTCAGCACACCAATGTCGAACACACGTCTAGCCACTCCTCCGGGTGAGATGTACGAGTCAGGGATGCGGAACTTAACCTTTCGTTGACCGGGCTAAACTAAGAAGATAAGAAAACCTTATCATTCAAGTGATAAGACATGATAAACAGTGATTATTCCCGAGGAACACCTTATACCATCAGACGTCGTCTTCCAGAATTTGACGGTCTCTAAAATGCAATGGCAACCTGCGATTTACTTTGACTCATCACATACCTTAATACCGTCATCACAGTCATGGTAAACTTTGAAAACAGGGTCGATGTTGGTCAGCTCACGCTCGGATCCCTGAAATTAGCCATATTCGAACTCACTTATGCCGCGTTACTACTCACTCTGGGCTAACCTGCAGCTTGAATTCACCATTAGAATCGGTATATCCTTCATCGAGAACGTCATCTGGATCAGGCCCTGAACATAGATTTGCTTAGTGTGCTCATGGAACTCTTGAAGCGAGGAACTTACCGTCATCTTCATCCCACAGCTTAACCTTTACTCCTGCGGCTGGCCTATTTCCACACATGAGCCTGCCTTGTACAGCAACGGCTTGTTGTCGCATAGCCAGTGCACAACCGACTAGGGCCAAGATGATCGCGTACTTCATCTGGAACTCCAACTTGCTCACCTTAACGTTTAACAGGTGCTTGCAACACCAGTATAGAGAATATCAAATTAACTACTGGACTTTAACGGATTTTTGGAGTCTTACTGCCATATTTTCTAATTTTGCTGAGAGCGAGAAAGGCATGAGAAAGCATGAAATGAGCGATGAGCATGAAAAAATTTTGTGAGCAAGTCAGTCGATTCGAAACAGATCATGAGGATTTGTAGGCAAGAGACATCAATACTCCTGAGACAGTAAGGAGAAACCACCAACAGGTGCAATCATAAAGTTGCAAACTATGGAAAAGCAGGAACTGAGAGCATTCTATAGACACAAATATGAATTTTCACAGAAGATTTGAGGGAGCGCTATAAGTGAAAGCACAGTATGGAATGGCTCCTACTGATGACGGTCTTCTCATTTTTCCAGAGAGGAAGAACAACAAAAATTTGCTGAAAAACAGGTAGGCAAACAAAGGGCCAAAACTCAACCAATTAAATGACATTTTGACTCTATAAAACCATCCTTATGGAAGTTCACTAACTAGTTCTTTTATTTACAAATCTCCAATGATTACAAATGAAAATGAGGTAAAAAAACTCGTCCATACAAGGAACGATGGCAGTTCATAGTAAATCGTTCAGTCTGATTAGATATGGAATCAATGAAGGTCCAAACAAGTCGTAAACAGCAGCCGCGAATGATAGGGGATCTTCTATCAGATTGGAATATCGTGAGTGGAATACTGCGACTATTTTGAACAACATTTTAGAATGCCACCAACTGAGCAAAATGCTCGTCATAGATGTCATTGGGTTCTACTAATTGAGTCCCTCATTCTTTCGAAATGTCCTTTCGAGGTAGTCAAAATGTCCCCAGCAGCCCAGCAGCAGCCGAAATCTCCGGAGCTCAAAAAAAGTTTTGGTCCAAATGTTGGTTCTTTCAAATAAGCCTTTGACTGTAAGCGACTGAATCTGATTAGGACCGAAGACGTCTGACCAATCAAGCAGTCAGCCCGGTTTCAAACGAAGATGAGAAAGCAACGTTGCGTTGGTATAGCCTGAATAGGTCTACGGACCACCTGGCAAGAAANTCGAAGCTCAATGGAGACCACGTGGAGCAGCTCCAGAGGAGATCTGGAGGAATCTAAGGGAGAAAGATTTTTCTAATCAAATTACCGGCAGAGGGTAGAACGGATTGTCGACGAAATCTACAAATAGCTTATCTTGCGAATCCGTGAAAATAGCCTCAGCAGCAAGAAAAAGAAGAAAGGGAAGGTGTTTTTCCTTTGGCTGCTGTATTAACTATTACATAAGTTTCAAAAGCTGTTGCGATTTTAAGTGAATGCTTACTGAGCGGATTAACCAGGGCTGGTAATGGGTTTACTCAAGGATTAGTATTATGCCTTTCCTAGCATTCCATTTACCACCCAGAACTTTCTCCATTCTCGTGATTAGAGAGCAAACAACGAGCTTACTAGCCCATAGCGATTGTTTCATACAGCTTACTACTCCGCTACCGTTCAAAGAAGCGATTGTGGCTTGGAAGAAAGGGAAATTCTCAATTGATAAAGAGTTTCTATGTAAAGAATAAAGCAACCCGGTTGCATGGCACTTTTCTCGAATAATACTTCCGCTTCAAGCATTTCCTTCTTTGTTCTCCTAGTAAAAGAACACCATTTGATCCGTGCAGTATGGGCTTTGCTGTTGAGGGGACGGTACAAGGAAGCTTCAGAAAGGTCATATGTTCAAATGGAATACTTCAACAGACGATCGATCAAATCTGCAATGAAATTCTGCTTTTCAAGGGCATTGGAAGGAAGCTGAACCGAGAGGAGCGCTCTCCCATAGTACCCGTCAATAGGGTGAGGGATCTGGGATAGTTCAAATCGAAGGTGAACCAATCATTCCAGCTCTGTTCTGTATCTTTGATGCTCGTCGATGAATTCATGAATCAAAGTTATTCAAAGCAATGAGAATGTGTGAAAGCACTTGAGAACTAATAAGCCTGGGCTTGGAACGCGATGTGCAGTCTATGAACTCTCCATGAAAGGTGTAGAAGTAATTGTCATAGCGACAAACCGATTATAGATGCAATAATTGCACGTCAACAGCAGTGAGGTAAAAAACCCTCTTAAACGTTGGTTCGGATGTGACGAACAATAGCAATGCGTAGGGAAGTTTACAGAATGAGAAACTGAAGTGATGCTCGTCGGGATGTTTGCGCCATTACAACAGTCGTGTGTGTGATAATGGAAAACAAATTAATATCAGCTTTTCGGCGGACAAAGCTATTCAATCTTAAGCGTCTGACACAGCTACGAGAAGATAAAGAAGAGCAAGTGTTGGCTTCAATGGCTTGAAAGGTGGCTTAAAATATCAGCCAAACAGATGAACGTAGGGAGGGTAACTTTTCATTGATGTGTCTGCTACAGTGGGTTAACAGAATCGAACCCACTGAAGGAATCATCGGCTATGATTGACTACTTCCCCATGTCGAACCCAAGGGGTTGGAATAGAGGATGAACTTGTAATCCTTTCTCACCAAGAAAGCCTTCATACTGATGTTATAATATAATTAAATAAAATTAGCGGAGCCAAAAAGATTGTTACTCGAGAACTTAGCTATCGGCTAGACAAGCCAACCAAATCGTCTTCTTCGAAGGTCTTGCACTATAGGAACGACTCGAGGACTCTTCTGATGTTCAATTCATTCTACATTTAGGATGATTTCTTTGAAATCGTACGTTTTCGGGGACGCCCGAACTAGCAAAACAAATGTTCTCAATCAAAGATAAACACCAGATAACGAAGATGGTAAGGCTGGGTAAATTTTTAGCAAAATTCAAGCAGTTCAACTTGCCCCAAGAGTCGATGTATCGTCTAATTGCCAACTTGAAAAACAAGCGAGGTGAGCCAGTTTGTAGTGCAGCACCTGGTTGTGGCCTCTTTGTTGAGAGGCCTATTTTTTACCGCTCATTAGGAGAGGGTAAGAAGTCCACTTGCTGAGGGCCCTGTTTTTTGAGACTTGCTCAGGTATCATGAAAGCGCTGATATCTGTTGGCCTTCTTCCCCTTACCCGATGGACCCCGACCCAATGAACAGGTTTTTAGTCCTCTGTGTATTGGAGAAATTTAGATATACGATCACGAGTCACGCTTATGAAACTCACCCATGCGTAGACAAGCCATTTTTCTCCTAAAGAGTTTTTTTATTTTTCAACTGTCTTCAGAAGCAGAACCCAGCTTCCCTCTCTTTCCGCAGCCACCCCTCACATAAACTTCTAGAAGTTCGGGCGGACAGTTGTAGTTGTAGAACATTTACATTAAAGGACGTTTTGACGATGAAAGGACGTTTCGTTCCTATTCCTCAGCACATATGAAAACGGAAGGGTAATATGGAATAACTCATACTTTTGCAAAATTCGCATATCTCCTTTTTTTTATCACAATGCAATGCAAGCAAGGAACGGTACAGGATAATTTCAAATACGTTTCAGGATAGGAGCACGGGTAGGTAGTGAGAGTTGTACAACATCTGCGCAACTTGTACATCTTGTACCACAACACGTACATATGGGTCTTCTATAACTTTGGCATGATTGTAGACTGATATAGCTTATTTCTTTACCTCTGAGATTATTAGGTTTTAATTGGTTGAGCTTTCAACGGTACAGGTTTCTTCAGAGCCTGAAAGAGCCCAAAATCTATCAATGCATCAATGGATTTCTGTCAACGTTTCTAATCATTTTAGCTCTCGTTCTTTGGACGTTCATTGCTGGATATGTCAGTTCCATTCCTGAAAACTACTAGAAGCAAGCACAATGTGGACTTACCCATGCTTAATACTCTGCAAGAACACGAATTTTATAATGAAAAACGAAAAAGATAGACGTTGCACAACGGACCTTTCGGTGCACCATCTTCATCAACAGGGGTCCGCAGCCCTTGTTTTTCGTCAAAAATTACATTTAATCTTGGATCGAAAAACCCAGGTTTCCTATTGTTCGGTGCATTCAAAAGCATCAATCAAAAACCTAAGACAACTGATAAGAACCTAGAAAAAATATGTTTTTGACACCAATACATCGTCAATTCGTGGGCCCGCAGTGATCCTGGCATTATAACGTATCAGTCCAGCTTCATGGCTTCACATTGACTAATAGCATAATCGTGACTCATTTCCATTCAAAGGATGTCAACTCGTCGATCTTCAAGATTTATTCACTCTTTTACTGTGGCGGAATGCACAGTGCTTCCTCTCTGTCGCATTTGCATTTCTCGCATTGGCAGTCCTTGTCCTCTTTGCACGGTTCACCAATCTCATAAATCAGGGAACCGAGGTAGTTGCCTCTGGAAATCGGCTGTCGAATGGAGTGACATGAAAACCTTGTACTTCACTAATACGCTTACGCTCGAGCATATTCACATCCCACTAGAGTCATGTCTTTACACCATACAACTGCGCAACCGACTTTCTTGCTCCACTGCCAGACCACCTAGAAGGACGAATATATCTCTTTGATTGCATCACTGCTTGACAATTCTATATCACCTGACTGTAGTGACCAACTCCACGATTGAAAACTTCCATGGTGAGTCTGTTTTCCTTTGGCACACCCTTGTGTTCTAATTCGCTGAACCAAGCAGACACACTCTGAAACCGAAGTCTTCGTTTCTTAGACATAGATCTGAGTTTGACTTTC